AGGTTGGGAGTGAAAGACCCCCGAAGGTAGTCTTCCCTCTGGAGAGACCCTCGCCCAGAGATCACACCGAGACCACAAGTCAGATGCAAACAGCAAGAGGCTTTATTCCGGAACACGGGTACCCGGGGCGACACAGTCCCTCCAGAGGCAGAAGAGACTGGCGCGCCGACGGGCTGGAGTGGAGGGTTTTTATAGGGTCGGGCAGCGGAAGGGCGGGTACAGAAGCAAGAAGCATGTTTTACAGGGTTCTGATTGGACGACTCATATGAGGCCATGGTTTACAGGGTTCTGATTGGACGACTCATATGAGGCCATGGTTTACAGGGTTCTGATTGGACGACTCATATGAGGCCATGGCTTACAGGGTTCTGATTGGACGACTCATATGAGGCCATGTTTTACAGGGTTCTGATTGGACGATTCATATGAGGCCAGGTTCAAACTCAGGACAGCTCGTGGTTTTTCCCCCGAGCTCGACACGCCTGCTGACCTGGCTCCCATCCAGGGTATAAACTGTCCCTCCGACCCTCCAGTTCCCTGTTCTGGGGCCAGGTGGCCGACCGCAGACACCCCGCTCGTTCCTGCGCCCATGTCCTCCAACCGAACCCTCCCCGCACTCCTCAGGCCCTGCTCAAGATGGCGTCAGGCCAAGCAAGCATGCTGGGGCCCCTCAGCACCACCCCAGAAGAGTCCCGGGGTCCCGGCCTGCACCTCCCTGCAGGGCTCCCCAGTCCTCAGGCCACGCCACCGCCACAGGGTCCCCGAGTCCCCAAGCTGCGCCACCCCGGGGGCACCCGGGCCCCAGTCTGCACCGCCCGGAGGGTCCCCGGCCCTTGGCCTGCTCCACCACGCAGGGTCCCCGGCTCTCGGCCTGCTCCATCCCGCAGGGTCCCGGGTGCCCGGGTCGCGGCCCGCACCACCCTCGCCGGCGGCGGTACCGGGCGCTAGCGCCGGGCAGCGGCGCCAATCGGGCTCGAGGACACGGCGGGCCCGGGCTGGGAGCCTGCGGTCTCCTCCCGCCGCGCTACGACGCGGGGCCCCGGCGCGCGGGCCGCTGCGGGGCGCGCATGGCGGGCGCGGGCGGCTGGCGCGGGGACGGGGATGCGGCCCGGCCTGCGCTGCCCGCGGCTCCGCTCCTGGCGGCCTTTCAGGAGGAAGGGGATCTAGAAGTCATGACAAGCTCACTATTTCTTCAGAAGCATGGAAAACCCAAAGGGGCCAGCAAGCATCCTGTCTAACACTCTAGCTAAAAGGATCTGGAAAACAGACCCCCCTCCCTGGGGATGCTCAGTTGCTAGGCCAGCAGCTAGACCAGCTGCTGCCGCTGGTCACCTACACCACCACATGGGAAGCATGTGTTTTATTTACATATAATGCATTGTAACACAGGAAAGGATACAAGAAAGCTATATTTCTGGTTGTTTTTTATCAGAACCTGGTATATTATCAGTCACATCTGGACTTATTTGAGGGAAGTTTTTTACCCTAGAGATTTATTTACTTATTCATTTTATTTTATTTCATTTTAATTTTTATGCATATGGGTGTTTTGCCTGCAGGTATGTATGTATGTGTATCACGTGCATCCCTGGTGCCCTCAGAGGCCAGAAAAAGGCATCATATTCCCTGAAACTGGAGTCACAAATGTCTATGAGCTGCCATACAAGTGCTGGGAATTGAACCCAGGTTCCCTGGAACAGCAACAAGTTATTGGTTTTTATTATGTAATGTATGTGTGTTTGGGTATGGGCACATGTATACAAGCGCAAGTGCCCTAGGAGTCTAGAGTCCCCACTGCAGCTAAAGTCAGAGGTAGACGTGAGACACCCCACATAGATGCTAGGAACCACACCCAAGTCCTCTGCAACAGCAGAACACTCTCCTAACTACTGCCAGTCTGCAGTTTGGGAGTTTTCTATTACGGAAATCCCTTTGGGTATATTTTCAACTTCAGTGTTTTGTCTGTTTCCAGATGTGAGAGTTTACAACATTTGCAAGACAAAGAAGTTTGCAGTTCATCTACCCACTCAGTGTTTACTAACATTAAGTTCTAAGGGATGTCTGAGTTGATTACCATGACTAAGATGGAGCTGGGGAAGAGGTCGGAAGTTGGTTTAAGAAGAGGCTGGAGAAATGGTTCAGTGGTTAAGCATGCTTGCTGCTCTTGCAGATAACCTGGGTTCAATTTCCAGCACCTACACAGCAGCTCACAACCATCTATAACTCCAGTTCCAGGGAATCTGACATCCTCTTCTAGCCTCTGGGGGCTCTTGCATGCAGATGCTGCATATAAACTCTTTTTTTCCCCCTCCAAGATAGGGTTTCTGTGTGTAGCCTTGGCTGTTCTGGAACTCGCTCTGTAGACCAGGCTGGCCTCGAACTCAGAGATCCACCTGCCTCTGACTCCCCAGTGCTGGGATTAAAAGTGTGTGGGCCACCACTGCTCGGCTGTGCACATAAGCTCTTAAAAGTTTACACACATACACAGTATTAAAAAAAAAAAAAAAAACTCTTTTAAAAGGAGGTTGATATAAAAGGAAAGATGAGGGAGTGTCGGAGTGTAGTTCAGTGGCAGAGCACTCGCCTAGCATATGTGAGGTTCTGGGTTCCACTCGAAGTGCTACCAAAAAAAAAGGGAAGTAAGTAAGCAGTGGGTTATGGCGCAGGCCTTTAATCCCAGCACTCAGGAGGCAGAGACAGGCAGATCTGAGTTAGAGGTCACCATGGTCTACAGAGCTAGTTCCAGGACAGCCAAGGCTATACAGAGAAACTGTCTGGAAGAAAGAGAGAAAAGGGGAAGGAGGGAGGGAGAGAAAGAAAGAAAGAGGAGGGAGGAAGGAATGGAGATGCCATCCCAGAGATGGTGAATATCCCAAGCAGAGACCCCCAGGCCTGAAAGTGGTTCATCTCTGGCCAGCAGACTCCTCAATATGTTGAGAAGCAGCAAAAATGGAGTCAGGGGCCAGACTTTTAGAGAGTATTATCAGCTTTGGCTAGGTGTTTAACCCACTAGTCTCACAGTGTGTGTGTGTGTGTGTGTGTGTGTGTGTGTGTGTGTGTGTGTGTGTGTGTGTGTGAAGTAACTTGCTGGTACATACACACATACAATAAGACTGTCTCAAAAACAAACAAAGAAAAAGTAATAAAAATAAAAAAGGGGGCTGGAGAAGTAACAGTAAGTGCTTGCTTTTTAAGCACAAGGCTCTGAGTTCTCAGTACTCACATAAAAATGCCTGACATAGCGACATCCATTTGAAATCCTAAAACTGGGGAGGCAGTGGGTTCTAGCCTAGCTTGTTGGTGAGCTCCAGACCAATGAGAGACCCTGTCTCAAGATGGGTAGGATTTCTGAGGATAATACCAGAGGTTATCCTCCAACCTACATGAGCATGCACAAGCATTAAAAAAGAAAAGGACTTGGAAGACGTCATAGGGAGACCTAGCAACTCGATTTGAGACTTCAAAGGGACTTCCTAGGTCCACGATGACAATTTCCCTCTCCCCTGTCTCAGTGTAACCATTGGAATTAATGCCTGTGAGGACAGCAACTTCATAACCGGTTGGTGGAAGATACCAAGTAAGTATGGATCTCAGAGTACCATCAATTCCTACTAGTAGGCAGTAGGATGTTTAATCTGATGCCTATAACCAGCCCTCCCCATCTCACTGTTGTGAAAAGGAGTCTTTCTGGTTCTGGAAGTGCTGTGGGACACTGCGGGGTAAAGGAGGAATGCCATGGGGTGCCATGGGGTGTCATGGGGTGACTAGTCAGAGAATCAGCTGTACTCTTCACAAAGGGAATGGCCAGAATGGAAGTGGGCAAGAGCGGTACCATCGAGTGACTAGCGTAAAGAGAGGGGCTAATGAGAGACAAATGAAAAGCGGGTGGGTGAGCAAACTGAGAAGGCTGGGTGTCTCAGGGGACAGCCAATCGTACCTGGGCTGCTGGCATCATTCCCTGCTTCACAGCTGCTCGTGTTCTTTCCAGAAAGTGAGAGCTTTGGTTTGTCTCTCCTGGCAGACAGGAACATTAATGGCCTGGAGGCTCTGGATTTTCACTACCAGCGTCCATTTCTTTTGGTGGGAAGCCAACCCTTTATGTAAGACTTAGAACTCTAGGCCCATGGAATCTGCTGCTGGAGGCAGGCACAGAGGAATGTATGCACACGAGGGCTCAGAGCCTGTTGGAGCTAGTAGCATGAGGATGGGGTATTGCCCCAGAAATGGCATTTCTTTTACAAAGGACATCTTTCCTGAGATCCTGAGACAGGCAGAACCCAAGATGACAAAAGCCTTTGTTTCAGGAAATGCATAACCTGTGGGTAGGGTTATGCTTGCTCCAAGTAGAGGTGGTCAAAAGAGGTGCTAGCTTGGGGTTGCTGGAGAATGTAAAATGCTGGGTGGATACAGCTGGTACATAGGTGCACCCCTGTTCTTTCTCTGACATGCAGCCCTCTGAAGCAGGCTCTCGTTCCCCATCATCCTCCCGGCCTATGATTGGGGTTGGGGAATATCTGGAGGATAAGGGCCCTGGCCACTGGGAAGTAGATCCAGACAGGACCCAGATCACAGACTGGAACCCTTAAACAGCTGGTGGAGCCAGATAGTTTTGCTGCCTGCCTGCTGTGTGACCTTAAACGGGCCATTGTTTCTTCTACTCTGAAAGGGGGAATAGCAGTGACAGAATCTACCTCAAAGGGGTGCTGCCCCTTTAAATAATTGCAGGCCCAAATGCTAAGTGAACAGCTCAATACATTGGCTAGTGTTATTTACCTGGGCCACTCCAGCCCACTCTAGCAAGCCAGGCAAATATATACCAGAAGTACTCCCTCGCTCCTGCCCTCCCCCTCCCCTCCCTCCCTCCCTCCCTCCCTCCCTCCCTCCCTCCCTCCCTTCTTCCCTCAGTACTTTCCGCTCTTCTGTCCCCCTTTTCACTCCTGGTTTCCTGTAGCCCTTCAACAGCCTCAGTAACTGCTTTGGACAATATCACCCCACACAAATCCTTTTAGAAAAGCAGGTTTATTGGTCCGGCTGCTCACCAGAACACAGCAACATGAGGAGCTCCCCTAGAGCCCACAGGAAACTGTATCTGCCCACGACTTAGGCCCCTTCCGCCCACCAGCACCAAGGGACCTCATCCTACATTTCCCGCCCTCCTCAGCGGTGTGTCTTCAATCACTCGGAGGAGGGAAGGGAACCAAGAAAAAAAAGGAAAATTAAAAATTAAAAAAAAAAAAACCCGCAAAGCTTCGTATTGTATAAAAGGTTTGTGGTTTCACCCCCCCAACACCTCCCCCCAAATATCAATTAGCTGCAATTCTAAAAAGCAAAGCAGGGAAGCTAGGTAGGAGGGGAGAAGGAAGCCGCCTCTAGCCATCATTTGCGGGAGGTGTTGTCTTTGCTCCTGACTAGCCTTTAATGGGTAGGGAAAGGGGGGACCACTGTGCCCTCAGGAGAAAACCTGGTCAATGACTATAGAAATGAAGCCTCCAACAAGAAGCAGCAACCCCCGCCCGCCAAACTCTCAGGTAAGGTGCCCCCAAAGGCAAGGAACTTACGGAGGTCTTGGCAAGTTCTGCAGCTTTACTAGGGAAAGACCCACACTAGAAGCTGCTGGAAGGGAACTGGGGTGGACAAGTCAGCAAGCCCTGCTTCCCCAGTTCCCCTGGGAATCTCTGCTCTGGGCTGGGGCGCCGGCCCTTAGCACCTTGCTCGCTTGCTCTCTTACTTCCCACCGGAATTGCCAATTCTCCACAGCTTGCTGCTGCCCCCTGCTGGAATCCTAATTTTCTGGGCTTGGAAAACTAGGCTTCCCAGAAGGCAGTTCCCAGACCCTGGCTTACCTCCCTTTGGAAGACACTTTCTAGAATTCACTGCCCTCCTATTCCTGAAGCCATTCTACGTCCTAAGACCCTATGAAAGTGGGGTTCTTGCTTCAGTTTCTTTGTGTTGCTAATGAGGGCATTTCTTTCTTATTCCATTTCAACTTTCTCCTATTTTCCCCTTTCTTCCCAAAGCCATACTCATGTGCTCCTGTGTGCAGATTTTGTAGACTTGTACATGTCCACACACACACACACACACACACACACACACACACACACACACACACACATCCCATCTTTTCCTGGGCTCTGCTTGCCGCCCCCTGCTTACTTTGGTAGGACCTTTATCCAGGGTCAAGGCACACTCTGCCTCCACCCCACCCTATTGACTTAGGTTCCCCCAAAGGCCCTCAGGTCTTCCAGTGGGATACCTCCCATGGGAGCAAAGGTCTCCCGACACATTTTCTTTCTTCATGGTATTCTGAATTGCTCCGACCACCTTCTAAGCATGGGCTCTCTCACTGATACACCCCAGCCATCTCTTCTTATTTTGAAACAGGGTCTCATTGAATTACTTGGGCTGGCTTTGAACTCACTCTATAGCCCAGACAGGCCCTGAATTTTCAATTCTCCCGCCTCAGCCTCCCAGGTAGCTGAGATAGCAAGCTAGCACTAAAAGGCTGTCCCTACAAGGGTTGTCTTTAGGATTCACTCTTTCCTCTTGCAGATATTTTGGCTTTAGCGTCTCCTGGGATGCGGCTAAGATAGAACAGCTCAGGAAGCGGGAATGGTGCCGCTGAGTATGAAGCTGTGGTGGAGAGGCCGAGGGGGAGGCAGATACCCCGACAGGACCCAACTAAGAGAGCTAAGAAAAGGCGTCCTAGACCAGGACAGCCTGGACATGGGCCATTCTTCCCACTTCCTACCCAGACTGTGTCCAGATTGAGGCTGTCCATTGTGGGAGCCCACCTCCCTTCGGCCTAAGGCTTGTGCTCTGAATGGGGCGCTCTTCCAAGGGATGTGTTTTCAGCTTAGAAAAAGCTCAACCAGACTGGGGCTGAGGAGAATGCGAAATAGAAAGTTTGAAAAGAGAAAGGAGCTGGGCAGGGGTGGGGGGTCAGGGAGCGGCAGGGTCAGGCGCCGGCCTCCAGGGCAGAGCCCCCCGAGAGTCCTGCTCAGTCGCTGTCGCTCTTGTCCACCAGGACGGCGTCTGACTCCTCGGTGATCTCCAGCAGCGTGTGCACGTCGGGGCTGCTCCCGCGCAGCAGGTCGGTGGCCTCGCCGCGCTCCGCGCCAGCCTCGTCGTCATCAGGGCCCACCTCCACCATCTCGGTGGCCTTCAGCACCTCCACCTCGCCCTCGCGGATCTTCTTGACGTGAAAGGTGAAGGGCGGCACCTTGTAGACGGCGGTCTTGGAGCGCGCGTACACCACGTGGTCGGGCGTGAAGGACTTGCGCAGCTTGTCGCGCGACGTCTTCAGCTTCTCGCGTCGCTCCACGGGGACCAGGCGCGTGCCCAGCTTGTTCATGCGCTTCTCCAGCGTGTGCCGCGTCTTCTCCAGGTTCTCCTTGGTCTTCAGGCGCGTCTTCTCCAGGTTCTCGCGCGTGCGCACCTTGGTCTTCTCCATCTTCTCCTTGGAGAAGGCCTTCTTGAAGTCGTCCACGCGCCGCAGGCCACTGCGCTTGATGCGCTCGGCGCGGGACTCCTCGATGACCTCCTCCACCTCCACCGCCTCGTCGGAGGACAGCTCGATCGCGGCGTCCTCCTCGGGCCGCTCGCCCTCGCCCAGCTCGTCACCCTCCTTCTCCGGCAGCGCCTCCGACTCCTTCAGCGACTTGCTGACGCTGAGTTTGGCGGGCAGCTTGACTTCATCCTAAGAGGAGAACAGAGCCGAGATGAGAGATGCCATGGGAGCGGGCAGAGCGAGGGCTGAGGGATGGGACCCCGGGGGGAAAACCGAGTGGGGTAGTGGCGATTCTGGAGAGGGCGTGAGAACCAATGTTGTGAGGGTGAAGTCCACCTAACTTGTTCACTCTTGAACACCCCCAGTGCCCTGTACAGAACTGGTCACAACCTGTGCGTTGAATGGTCGATATACAGACAGAGGTTCGGGTCAGACACTGGTCGGCATTATGATTCCACTTGAGCTAAATATTCCCAGGGACCCTTGCACCCTTGGGGCTACCGCTACCCCTATGATTGCTGTAAGCCATTGTAACTTTGGGAAGTACAGCTTAACTTTGTAAGTAGCAGAGCGCCCTCTGGTGCCCTGATTTACTCTCTGCCCTAAAGGAGACAAAGTCGGTCTGGGAGAGTTCAGAAGTTGGAAAGCGCTAGGGGTGCGCTCAAAGCCGAGCCCAGGTGGTCCCCAAGTAGGGTAGCTTTAAGCTAAAGTAAAGGAAGTGTGTTCTTAGCATTTGAACAAGTCTTGGAGGAGGGGAGCTCTGCCTGCAGCCCCGTTTCCATCCTTGACTTTCTCACGCTATTTGGCTCCACCGGCGAGCATCCCCTACTCCCACATAGAAGTTAATGGAGGAAAGGGAAGACACTGGCTGAACGCCAAGGAACTGTTTTCTTCCTGGTCTGGACATTTCTTCTGGTTCTGTGTTCCCTGCCCTGGAATAGAGGGGATGATGGCTTTTATGGTCTTGCTGTGTTTCCAGGCCAGAGCTTAAAGAGCCAGGAGTGGGGAAGGTGATTGGGACTGCCTATAATGCCAGATCTTAAAGCTAGCTAGCTCTTAGCTCTCCTCTTCCTCTCGGAGACCCTAGCACCAGGCTTATTTTTGGTTCTGTGGAGATTTTTCAATAACCTGGCTTGGGATAGACACTTCTTCGTTTTAGGATACCCCAGCACACCACCACCACCACCAAAGCGTAGATGTGGGTGAGCACAGAATAGAAAAGGGTCTGGCCCAGATCATAAATGGGAGCTCCTTAGAGGCTCAGAGTGTTTTTAGGTATTTAAGTCCAAGGAGTGAGGGGGGAGGGCGCTTTTTTTTCTAAAATGTTTTCTCAAGGTCATTTTCCAGAATTATGCAATAATCCCATCTCCTGAGAAAAATGAGACAACATAAATTGGTTCTTCACATAGAAAGATACACACACACACAAAAAGAACACACACACACACACACACACACACACCCCTATTCGTAGGCTACATGAAATCTTTATACCACCTGCTACAGAAATCCCTTCCCCACGCCCAATCCCTTTCCTATCCCCTCCCATTCACATCCCCCAGGGTTTCCTGGTTTACATTAGAAACTAGGAACACCTCCTCCCAACTTCCTTCCCTCCTTGTCAATAACATTAGCAGGAACAAAGAGGGAATGCTGTCTCCACCTCCTCTCCCAACTGGGCACCAGCTCTGTTGGGCACCAAGTCACCTCAAGCTATCTATTACATTACTACACTTCCCAGCAGGCAAGGTAGCCTGAGCACAAGGCATGCTGGGATTTGTAGTCTCTACCTGCCATAAGTGGGGCTTAGTATTATCACTGGAATCCTAGGGCATGTGCCATCCCTCTGCCTCTTATTCACTGAGGCACTGAAGGGATGATTTTCTTGTACTGAGTGTAGAAAGGTTCCAGCCTCTCCTAGCATTCTTTCTGACTTTGAGTCTCTTGCAGTCATCCTGCCTGCACCTAGAGACTGACATCATTAGGGTTTACATGACATCTTAGGACTCCCTAGGATTAAACTCTGCCACCTCTTCCATGCATCTCAACCCAGATTCACCTGTAACACCAGTATCAAAAAAAAAAAAAAAGGCTAGGCAGTGGTAGTACTCCAGAGGCAGAGGCAGAGGCAGGTGGATCTCTGTGTGTTGACTCTCCCCACGTCCAATCCCACACCAGAAGATGGAGCTAGCTGGTCTCTCTGACCTTTAGCTTTCTAGACAAAGGTCTTTGCCAGCTGAGCTCAGAAAATGATAGGCTTTTCCACGCTGCAGTGTCGAGGGGGAATCCCCGGGAGGAGAAGTGTATGCCGGGACTTTTCCGGGAAAGGTGCCCGGGAAACGTAACCCCCTTCGTGGTGGGCTTCCCCTCGAGTGATGGCTTTTATGGGAGACATCATCTTCTGGGTGGAAGGTTGGGAGTGGGGTAGGATAAACAACTTGGCCTGAGTCCCTGTACAATGTCCTGTAGGCTGGTTCTGAATATCACCATTAGCCTTTCCCCCTCCACTAATGGATTTCTCTTTTCCACCCCCATTTCCCAAGTAAGGCTTCCCTCATGACTCACAGCCTTGGAGTGCTGCCTTGGGCCCACCCAGTCTGCCTGTTGCTACAACAGCCACCAACACAATTCAAAAGCACCTCCCCTTACTCTGGGCACCCGGGCCAGGTACCTTTGTCTCACTCATATTGCCCTGGCAGAGTGATTAGGGCCATGGAGGGGCCTCGTGGAGAGCAAGAAGGGAGGGTTCTACTTGTTCCGTTTTCCCGTTTTTATTAAACAAAACCACCACTCCCAAAAGGCTTGGATTCCAGAGTTACTTTTAATGACCAGGTCCGAACAAAAGCATGCACAGCTTCCCCAGCCCCTGCCAAACACACACAGCTCCCCAAGCCGGGAAGGCACCAGTCCGGGATGGATGTAGAGAGGCCCCCAGGGAGGTTCCTACCTCTTACACTTCACTTCCCAACCCTGCTGCAGAAAAGTAAGACCTGCTGGCTGAGAAAGATCATTTTACAATTATAATCTAACTGAGCATCCACTATGCCCTCGGCATTTCATATTTGTTAGAGAAAAGGGACAGGCACTACCCAGTGGTGGGTAGGAGCCTCTCTTGATTTAGTGCTAACCAGTTCCGTCTACAGCTGGTGCTGAGAAAAAAAGTGGAGATTCCAAGACCCAAGACCTGCTTAAAGAACGTATTAGAAAAGGCTGCATTGTTGGGCAGAAGATGCATTATGAAGGAGAAATGAAGAAGGAGCCCTAAAATCCCAAGACCTCTGCTTTGGGTTACCAAGACAAGGGGATGAGACAGCAAAGGCGGGAAGGGACTTGCTTCTGCTACAGCACCCTTTCTTGGCAGGGACGACATTCTTCCTAAGAGGATGAAAATGGACTCTCAGGAGGCGGCAGGGCCTTGGATATTAGGATGGTTTGCGGTGCTCCGAAAAACCTCCATACATAAGCAATCGTATAGCGTATCTATAGTATTCAATTTTCACGAGGGAGGTAGATGGGAAAAACCCTACAAGTGTTCCTTAGGGGGATGATCATGGAGAAAGAAGCCTTGTGCACTGGAGTCAGCTAAAGTATTCTCCCTTTGGGCCTCTCTGAGCTGGCAGCTTTCGGGTGCCCCACCCAAGGCAGGATCTGGCAAACATAAGAGATCCTTTTGCAAAACATTTTCTAAAAGAAAATGAAAAAAAAAAAGTAAGTGTAAATGTTTTCCTCAGCTACAGGGAGTGGGTGAAGAGGGCACGGAACAGCTCCAGGCCTGGGCCTCATGAAGGCCCCCCCTCCAAAGAGGCTTTGAGCCAAATTGGCCTGTCCCTGAGGGGTAGGGAGGGAGGGGGTGGAAGAAAAAAATCAGAAGACACGCCCAGTTTCATGCAGCTTCATGCAAGGCAGCCTTCGGGTGCAGCTACAATTTAAAAAGACATCAAGAGATACAGTTCTATGGTGGAGCATTTGCTTAGCATGCATGAGGTTCTGGGGTCCATCCCCAGCACTGGGAGAACAAAGCACCACCACCATCCAAGGAGGGGAGGAGCCTCCTCTTTACCTCCCACCCCCAATGCACACATCACATTTGCCTGAGTGCTGCACAATGCAAGCATTTTTCTAACACCCATTGCCAGCCCATAATAGACAACAGCTTGAAAGGACGGGCCATCAAGGCACTGACTTCCTGTGCCCACTGGCCCTGGGGTCCCAGGAGATCCTACATACTCCCACCAGCTGTTGGCTCTTCTGGGGTGGGTCGGGTCCCAGGCTCTGGGTAATTGGGCAGTGGGCTGGGCATCTGCTCAAAGGCTGGGCGCTCAGGCACTGTTTCAGGCTTCAGGTGAAAGGACTCAGTCTCAGGCAGAAGGTCAAGAGGCACCATCTTGGGTGTGGCCAGGCCAAAGGGTGCTTTCGGCTTCTTCTTGGGCTAAGATGAGGAAAAGGGGTTTAAATGGCACTTGGGATGGGTGCGCGGAGGTTGGGGGGGGAGGGATTTGACAGAAAGAGGCCTCTGTGGCATGCAGAGCTGGGTCCGGTTGAAGAGGGAGAGGCTCCGGAATGGATCAGGGTGGGCCGAAACCACATTTGAAAGGCTTCTTTGGGAGGGCCCTGGGGCTAGAAGGAGTGGGATGAACCCAAGCCCATGAATTAATAAACAGCTTCAACTGAACCCCTTCCACCTCCCTCCTGTCCTCTAGAACGTTCCTCGGACCGCTCCTCGGGCTTCCAGCTTCTACCCTTGGGATGCCACTGTCATGCATGAGATGACTATGGTTTCTGAGGGGCTGGAGAGAAGCGGGGAACGAGGCTGCCAAGGAATGGAGATGGAATGTTTTGAGACCAACTGGTAAATTCTAACATGGAGGCTCCAATGAAGAGACACACACACGCCTTTCTTTCTTGTTATTCCCTGAGGCAGGGTGGGTATGCATGGGGGCCGCCCCGGATAGGAAAAGGGACATGCAGAGAAGAGGGACACTCTGGCTGCTTGGCCATGTTTCTACTTCCTGCCTCCCTATCTATCCAGGGCTTAGAACATCAGACACAGGGAGAAATCAGAATGTAAAAACAAGCTATCTTCAGGACAGGTGGGCCTGTGGGGTGCCCAGTGGTGGCTTCTGACCCTCTCAAGAGCTGAGCTCATACTCTTGCTTTGGGTGAGAACTCGGGAGAGGGACAATTAGAGGGAACAACAGACTTAGACAATAGCGATGTTCAGGAAGGCATGTATTCATAAAACCCCAAAGCAGCAACAGGTCCCAACCTGCCGAGTACGGGAAGGAGCAGAAGCGGCAGGGAGATGGGAGGTGGGAAATGGCTCTCCCCTAGAAAGGGAGCCTAAGCAAGGAATATCCATGGCTGGCCTGGAGTTTAATCCTTACACTGGGCACCGTCCCCTCCCACGGCCATGGCGCTGGGCAACCATTCTTTGCTCCTGCTTCAGCACTCAGGAGCTTGAGCAGCTAACGGCCATCAATATCCCACTGCTGGCCGCTTGTGGCCAACACGGTACATGTGTCTGCACACATACACATGTACACATGCGTATCACAGAGCATCCAGGTGAGGAGCAACATTCCAGGGTTCTTGCCCAATTTCCTTCTTGTTGGGTCAGTGTCTCATGTAGCTCAGGTTGGCCTCAACCAGGCTAGGTAGCTGAGAGTGGCCTTGAACTCTTAATCCTCCTGCCTCTACTGCCTGAGTACTGAAATTACAGGCAGGTACCACCCAGACAGTTTATGTGCTACTAGAGATAGAACCCAGGGCTTTATGCATGCTAAGCAAGCCCTCTACCAACGAAGCTAGATTCCCAGTCCCTGTTGTTTGCATGTATGGGGTGTTGGTGGTTGTTTTGAGAGGGTCCCCCTAAGTAGCACCTCAAACTCACAATCCTGTTTCCATCTCCTCCAGAGAGCTTGGGGTCCAGCCGTGCACCACCACATTCATCTGACCCGTTTCCACCCCTCGTCGCTTAAGTGACAACAGGCAAGTAATTTCCCCAGTCTGGGCCCCAGCTTCCTCAGACACACCACGGAGAGGGGGAAGCTGGTTATCTTCTAGCTCAGAGGGCTATAAGGACGGAATGATGAAATATTCACATTGACGGGATTCCAAACATTGCACAAGCGCCCCCCGCCCCCCATCTCTGAGGTTGTCGCTTACCATAATCTTCTGCCCTCTCTTGCCCCGGCTGCCTGCTTTATGCCCTTGTCTCACCTTTTTAACTTTGGCTTTTACAACAGTCAGGTTTGACTTTTAAAAAGGGGGTAAGTGGGTAGATGGTAAGATTGCCTTCAGTCCTGGGAATGCCCCCTAAAATTACCCTGTCTGCTTTGGATTCCATGAGCAAGAAAAACAGCCCAAAGTCATCTGTTAGAAAGAGTGACCCTGTAGACACACTCTCCAGCAGTGAGTCTTAGCGGGGGAAAGGGACCAGAGCAACAAGCTTCGAGTATTTTTAGATGAAGGTTTAGGGTTCTTCCAGAGAAAGGTATCTGTGATTCACTGGAGTACAGGAAGGAAGGTATTAAAGGCTGGGTGAAGATTTGAGAAGAAGAAGCCAGCACACCCTCATTCCAACCATACTGCCCTCCCCTTTAATGCCGTGAGTAACCTAATCTCTCCAATGCCTCTGAGTCCTATCCCCAAGCCCTTGGAGCAGATCTAATGGGTATCAACTTTGCCTCATCCAAACTGTTCCACAGTTTGGGGATATGGGGCAATGGTAAATCACTTGGCCAGCATTGGCTGGGAAAATTACAACTTCCAGAAAGCACTTTTTTCCACTTTATTTCTCCTTCTGGATTCTAATACAGCTCTGAAAGGATCCGAACTGTCACTTGTACACGTGGCTGTGTGGATTTCAACAATCCTGAATCGCGTGGTATTTCAGAGCAACTGCTTCCACCCGCACCATGTAACCCAGACTTCCCAGAAGCCCTCGGGCTACCACCACTAGTAAAATTCACTTCTCCCCTTCACTAGCTGTTCCCTAGCTGAGTGTCGTTCTATAGCACAGAATGAGACACCAAACTGCCAGCTTTTGTTTATAGCAGCACAAGGGACCCCCACCCTGATCCCACTACTGGGATTTCAGAACCGTGGGTACCTTCTTCTACAGTGACCCCTTTGCCACATCATGACCTCTCACACCTATACGGGGAAGACAGAACCTCATTTCCTCTTTCCCTCTAAAAAACTCACATACTGGGAGCCCCTTTCCAGTCTGCCCCCCCTCGCTCTCTTGCTTTCTCTGCCTGGCCATCTCCTTATCCTGAGTTTCCCATAAACGCTGCTGCCCCCAGTCTTCCCTATTAGGCCCTGCCAAGACACATGGCTATTTTTACCCCATTCTTTTCTCAGACTGCGGACCTCTGCAGACCCGGGATGAGAGCAAGCTGCTTTCCTCCAACCCCCAGCCCTTCACCCCCACCTGGCACATCTGTGGGGCAGCTGAAGGAAGTTCTCTGCAAGGAGCCCTACCCCGTGTACTAGGAGTTAGTCCTTACCTCTGAGCTTGTCCCAGGGTTAGGGGACACATTAGTGCTTAGTTAGTTAGCTCTTTCCCCTACGGGTTGGTTGGTGGCTCAACTTAAGCAACACTTTCTTTCTTTTCAGATTTTGTATGTGTGTGTGGGGGTGGTGGTGGTGGGTGTTTTGCCTGTGTGTGTGTGTGTGCGTCACATGTGTGCAGTGTCCCTGCAGAGGCAGAAGAGGGTGTCAGACTCCCTGGAGCTGTAGTTAGATTGTTGTTAGCCATCATTTGGGTGTGGGCAACCAAAGCCTCAAGCCAATCTGCCTCAACTCTCTGCCCTCCTCACCCACTCGCCTGGTTCACATGTAGTCAAAGCCATCTAGTGAGCGCCCCACCTCCACCCCACTATTCAGATAATGATGATTGCCAAATGTTGGAGATGGAAGGTACAGAGCAGAGAGGACACCGACCTCAGCAGGGAAGTCCCCCATTCACCCAGTACCGGTCCTTTCTCTCAGAATCCCCCTCTTCAGCACAGGAAGGTTTACCTCCAGGCTAAGAGTGTCCCCAAGCTGCACAACCTGGGACATTTAAAATGAGAAAGTCACTTTGTGACAGGCACAGGTTCTGAAGGAGAAAGCTGCTTACTGTCTCAGACCCTGTTCTCTTCCCCTAGATGACACCTGCAAGGGCCACATAGGTCCCAAAAACAACTCACAAGTCCTCACAGTCCCAAACCCCCTGCCTCTAAACAGTTAGATTGCGTGAAAACAGCTCCAAGTAAACACTTTCTCCTACCAAGTGGGAGCTATAAATGGGAGAAGCAAGCTTTCTTGTCTTTAGACAGGGCTGTGTTCTATGTCCCAGGCAGCTTGGCCTCTGGAATGATGGGGCCACGGGTATGCATCAGCAAGGCAAAACTTTGTACAGGCCCCTCGAAAGAGTCCTTCAGCAGTACGGAGAGGCAGGAGCTGGGAGCGGTCCTGTTCCTGCCTCTGTCCCATCACCAAAGACCCCGAGCATACAATAATAGGCTCAGTGCTCCCCCAGACACTGTCGCCATGTGCATCACTCTCCATTCCCCTTGAAGAGACCAGGCTACGCACCTCATCTCACACCACGTGGTTACTCTGAAGCATCATAATCAAGCACGACGGGTCAGAGCAGTGACCACAGCCCCCTGATACGGATTCTGTGGGGCATGTGGGAAATTTAGTCTTCCTTTTCTTTCCATTCCCATCAGGAGCGTAAACTAAGCCCTACAGCCCTCAGTCTAGGAGTGGGAGCCTCAACCAAGGCCCACCAGGAGGAGGCAGGGCTCAGCACATTCCCTCCAGTGAAAGAGCACCAATTCCTCGCTCTGCTCAGACTTACTCTTAGAGGGGTCAGGGATGGGGCGTGCGGGTGCAAATCAACATTGAGACTCCCAGCTGCTAAAAAGGGGTTAGGATACATTTGTATCCAGGCTGGAGAAACGCAGAAAGGTGCAAAGACAGCAAAGGGTGGAGCGTGAGTGTGTCAGCCTCCACCCGCTAGCACCTTCACCGCTCCGGACACCGCCCCCGCAGTTATGGGGGGAGGGGGTGCGTGATTCACCGCGCCCTAGCTGCCACCCCCACCAGTCCCACTTGCTCTTCTAACGCCCACCCCTACCCGCCCCACCCGCTCTCAGTAGAAGCTAAGGGCGCCTGAGCACCGTGAGACAGGGTGTCCCCAAGGACCTGAAAGTGCCTGGAGGCCAGGGGTAGATCGTTGCAAGGGGACGCGCGTGGGCAGCCGAGGCTGGTGCGGGGGCGCGGGGTAGGATGAGGGGGGCTGACGGTTGTGTCCCTTGCATGGCGCCCCCGCCGGTGCGTGCCTGAGCCCTGAATCACCCGCTATATCGGGCCCACAGCACCGGAGGCCCCAGGCCCCGGGCCCCACAGTCAGTGTCCACTTACAGAGGGTCCCTAAAAAACCACCAGGGACCTCGGGTATTCCCCCCACAAAACTTCCTCCAAGTGGGAAGACATTTAACAGAGACAAGCTGAGAGCACTCAGCATTCCCAAGTACAACCCGCTAACTTTCCGGCTAGGAGTTACAGACCGCGGGGAGGAGCCTGGGCCCCGGGGAGGCGCGGGGTGAGCCCTTCTATGCGCCCCAAGAGTCTGCCACTCCCCGAACCCCACTCCAGCTGGGTTTGCAGGAAGGAGGGCGGAGCTCCTGACCGCTCCCACGGGGCCAGGTTGGCAGAGAGACGAACCTCAGGCCGGTGTCCCCACCCAGGTCTCAGGCCGGGGCCGCGGGCGGGGTACCCTCAGCTCTGGGCGCAGTCCGCCCCGCGGGCTCACCTGGTAGATCATGACTTTAAAGTTGCGGCGGCGCAGCAGCTCCGCCTCGTTGACCTCCAGCTTCTTTATCTGGCCGGCCTGGCGCTCCAGGCTGCCGCGCACCGTCTTCACGTTGACGCTGACCTTGCGCACCTTCTCCAGCAGCTTGCTCACCGTGTTGCTCGTGGTGGCGTGAGCCTTGCCCAGCTTGCTCAGCTCGCCCTGGATGCTCTGCACGGCACCCTCCATCTCCGCCTGTCGCTCCTCCAGCTGGGCTTGGGTCAGCTGGATCTGGTCAACGGCGCCGATGATTTTATCCAGAAGGCTCAGCACTAGTACACCGTTTACCTGGTCCGACTTGATCAGCTCGTCAGAGCCAGTCCCCGACGGCTCCTCCGTGGCCGGTGCCTCCCCTGGGATAGCCTCCGGGCCCTCGGAGGAGGCATCGGGAAATCCGGAATACGGCCGCTCGACGATATGGAGCGTGACATCCTCCATGGCTTCCCGGAGCCGTGCGGGGCCGGCCGGGTGGAGTTGGAGCGGGAGACTGGGAGAGAAGGAGGAGCGAGAGAGGGGAGAGCGAGCAGGAGCCCAGAGCGGAGGAAACTCGAGCCACGTCCGTGCGCACCGGGACGCTGGCCAGGACTGTGGGGCGGGGAATCCGCGAGCTGCCCGGCTCCCAGGCCAAACTCGGAGTCTCGACGGCCATTGGCTGGCCCCACCCCAGAAAGGGAGGAACCGGGGCAGAAGGGGAGACCAGCCCGGGAGGGGCACGGAGGGGGTCCCGAGAGCCAAACGCCCCACCCTGTTCAGGATGGTTGGAATAGTTGGAGCGGGAGTCTAGGGCCCCCTTGGCAGTGGAGCTGCGGCAGCGGGACTGGGGCGGAGGAATGTGAGCTGGGGGAAGGAGTCAGGTCCTCCGAGTGTGCTCTACTTTTTCTCACTTTAGTTTTTTCCCATCCACAAACCCACTCCAGCCTTTTAAGATCAAGCTGAGATCCAGATGGAGCGTGAATTAGGTATAAGAAAATATTTTTGTCTATGCCCAGTGCCCTTGTAGGATCCTTACCCTATACAATCTTTTTCAAAGGGACTTGAGGGTCCACCCCACCGTCTATACACTGTGCTACCACCGTCCCCAAAGCTTGTGGCGCTGTTAGTGAGAGAGGCCGGAGAGGAATGACGTTAAAGTTACAGAAGGGATGGCATACAAGAGGCCTCTAGGCTTCTCTTAGAATCGTCAGGACAGGGCAGGATTAAGGTGAGAAATAAGACATGAAGGCTTTTAGTCATCTCTCTAAAATCATCCCTCCCTGTGTATTCTCCAGCGGAAATCTAGCTGACTCCGACCTCAGAGAGTGTGGCATCGGACTTGTTCTTTTCTCGGGTTCCCAGAGGTTAGGTGAGCATTTGGGGAGATCATGGAGCCCCATCCCCTTATCTAGCAGAGAAAGGAAGGCCAAGAGAAGAGAGGTGGATCTCCGGGGTTCCTTCCAGGTTACTATGGCGCTCGCTCTTGGCCCCAGGTCTCTGGACTCCACCGGTACTCAGAATCTTTCGTTGGGGCAGGAAGCGGGGCAACTATAGCGAGACTCCCTAATGGGAAAGCAAACCGTTTCTTCCCAGTGGACACCAAGGAGCTGGCTGTTCTGAGCAGGCGCAGAAGATTCCTTCGCACAAGGTCTAGAGACACAGGCTGCCCTACTCCCACATCTGGCTCGCACCAGTCCCTGGAGCCACCCCAATTCCCTTTCCCACAGAGATACTGAAAACCTTTTCCCTGCTGAGGAAATCAGGCTTGGGGTTCCCTGGCTGGCTGGGCTCGGCAAAAGGTCACTTGTAGTCTGGTATCCACTCTCACTAAGAAGAGTGAAATACTGCTTTGTGGGGACTCGTGTCATCAGTCTAGTCAGAGAACCTGTGGGCCAGGAGATTGCCTATAGGATACAGAACTTTAGGGACCACAGAATAAAGCACACACCCCCAACACTCCAATCTGCTTCCTCAGAAATGAGTGGCTTTCTCACTTGAGGTTAAAGAGTGACCCTCAGCTGGATAGAGGAGGCATTCACCTTTAATCCCAGCGCTCAGGAGGCAGAGGCAGGCAGATCTCCGTGAGTTCGAGGCCAACCTGGTCTACAAAGCAAGTTCCAGGAGAGCTAGGGCTCCACAGAGAAACCCTGTCTCTGAAAAACAAAACAAAATAAAAAAGGAACTGGTAAAACTTTGAGAAAAAAAGAGCGACAGAAGAAAGCCTTACTGGACCTATACCTACACTTTAAGAATTCAGACACAGGGCTGGAGAGATGGCTCGGTGGTTAAGAAAATTAACTGCTCTTCTAGAGGACCTGGGTTCAATTCCCAGCACCCACATGGTGCTCACAACTGTCTGTAACTCCAGTTCTGGGCACCCAACACCCATGGCAAAACACTAATCAAAAATAAATAATTTTGGGGCCGGGCGGTGGTGGCGCACGCCTTTAATCCCAGCACTCGGGAGGCAGAGCCAGGCGGATCTCTGTGAGTTCGAGGCCAGCCTGGGCTACCAAGTGAGTTCCAGGAGAGGCGCAAAGCTACACAGAGAAACCCTGTCTCGAAAAACCAAAAAAAAAAAAAAAAAAAAAAAAAAAAAAAAAAAAAAAAAAAATTCAGACACACTGAGGAGTTGGCTCTTCGGTTAAGAGCGTGGTTGCTCTTGCAGAAGACCAGGTTTGTTTCTCATCATTCACATGGTGGCTCATGACCATCCGTAACTCCAGTTCCAAAGGGTCTGATGCCCTCTTCTGACCTCTGCCAGCACTAGACAAGCACATGGTACACATACATACATGCAAGGAGAACACTCATGCACATTCAATAAATGAATAAATCTTTAAAAAATTAAAAGAATTATGCCGGGCAGTGGTGGTGTACGCCTTTAATCCCAGCACTCGGGAGACAGAGCCAGGCGGATCTCTGTGAGTTCTAGGCCAGCCTGGGCTACCAAGTGAGTTCCAGGAAAAGCAAAAAGCTACACAGAGAAACCCTGTCTCGAAAAACCAAAAAAAAAAAAAAAATTAAAAGAATTAGTTACTATTAGGTGTGTGTGTGTGTGTGTGTGTGTGTGTGTGTGTGTGTGTGTGTTTTGTGTGTGTGCACGCAGCCATGCATCTGCAGAGGTCAGAGGACAACTTTTGGGAGTCAGTTCTCTCTTTCTACCAAGAATGTCTGGGATCAGACTCAGACTATTGGGCTTGCTGGTAAGCACTTTTACCTACCCCACCATCTCAGCAGCAGCCCCTAACTGTGTTATTTAACAGGCAAGGTACAGATTGCAAACAGTACAAAAAGTAATACCATGGGATGAAGCCACTTTATTTGTTGTTCTCTTTGGGATTATAGGCATGCACCAACATGCCCAGCTATTTTTGTTCCTTGAGACAGAGTCTTGCTAGCTCCAACTAGCCTCACACTCATGGTGATTCTCCTGCCTCAGCCTCCAGAGTACCGGGATTATAGACATGCTCCACCATGCCCAGCTGAGGAAATTGTACTTCCTTTCCTATCCCAGTAACTAGTTTTCCTCCATCCCAGGAAACCATTGTTAGTATTTTCCTGCAGAATTTTCTACACTTGATCTTAGCCAAAAGACCAAGAAGTGATCCCTGCAGAATTTTCTATAGCATATTTCTATACACACAAGTTAGGTGTAATCAGGTAGACCTATAATCCTGGCTCTTGAGAAGCTGAAGTGGGATGATTATGAGTTGGAGGCCAACTTGGGCTACAATAGCAAGACCCTGTTTTTCTTTCTTTTTTTTTAAATGTTTTATTTTACGTGCATTGGTGTTTTGTGTAAGGAGGTCAGATCCCTGGAACTGGAATCACAGACAGTTGTGAGCCGCCTTGTGGGTGCTGGGAATTGAACCCAGATCCTCTAGTAAGAACAGCCAGTGCTCTTAACTGTTGAGCCATCTCTCCAGCCCGCCCCCCGCATTTTCTTTAAAATTAAAAAAAAGCTGTGCATGGTGACATACACTTTTAATCCCAGCACTTGGGAGGCAGAGGCAGAGAGATCTCTATAAATTTGAAGACATCCTAGTCTATATAGAGTTCTGGGCCAGCCAACACTGCCCTGCTTCAAAAGAAAAAAAAAAAGACAGAAGAAAAGAAAGACATTTTGTGCACATAGGATCATATTGTATATCCGTATATGTCAGTTTTTTCTTTTTTGAGTTGCTTATATTTCCTTAGATTTGCTTATATTTCCTTAGATTCCATGCCAAACCACCTTATTTTCCAATGTACGCATCTACTATAACTTATTCAGCCAGTTCCTCATCAATGGACATTTACAGATTACATATTAAAGAGGAGCTTCTGTGGATGATTTTTTTTTTTTTTTAGCTACATGCTATCGTTAAGTCGATGTGGTCTCAGCTTTCCCTCCAGGAAAATATTTGCAGTCCACTTCTTCAAAAGGAATGTCAGTATTTGTGGATGAGTCAAGTTATGTCCCAGGGGGTAGCCCCGTAAATACAGATCTGACTCATCTGATGCCTCCCTCCTTCCCAGAGAATTTTTGCAAAAGGGCCCTACCCCTGCAAAGCTATGTTGCAAAAATGTCCATACCAGCAAGCTTCTCTCAAGGTTCTTCTTACTAAATGCCAACTAATTCCCACAGGCGGGGGTGTTGAGCCCTGTGTAGTGTCCTACCAACCCTGACACAGCCCTGGAGCCCAGCAATCCTTTCCAGAAGCTTTCACTCCATTTCAATGGAAATCGGCAGTTTCTTTTCCTTTGCGGTTGCGCTCCACATGCCGTTGCCGACTTTCAGATTGCTCTTTGAGTTTGCCATTGCTCAGGCCACAAAATGGATAGTGAGGTTAAAACAAATGTTTCCTTTGGTGCAGGAAAGACACACACACACGCACACGCACACGCACACGCACACGCACACGTCAGCAGCTAGGCTCTATCACACCTACAGCCATGCATCTGTTCAATAAACAGCAAGAATTCACCGTGAGCCAGTTTCTGGGGGAGTGGGAGAGGACTGCCAGGAGAGAGGCGCGTCTATAAGGGAAGGGACCTTCACTACCCTGGAAACAGCGAAAGTTATGAAAGCAGACGGTAAAACAGCCAAGCACTGTCCATCTCATCGTGGTTCTGTCCTTAGTTTTACTAGTTTACATTTAAGGAAATGCAACAAAAGGTGTAGAATCCGTTCCACGCAGCTTTGGATCCCAGCTGAGACAGATCCCAGGGAGACAGTATGCTTTGTGAACAATAAACAGTGCGGATGGATGATGTGTCCTCACATCAGAGACACCATGGCCAGCCCTTCAGCAGCTGGCTCACAGCTGCCACGAACAGCAGGCATCCCTGCACTAGCTTTACAGTCACGGCTCTTGTTTCTCTGACGTATATAAAAAGGGCTTTAGACTGTGTGTTTCTCCTCATCAAAAATTCCTTCTCTTTAAAAAAAAAATTGATATGTTGGCAGCTAGGTGCAATGCCACATGTCACCTCAGCATTTGGGAGACAGAGGAAAGAGAATCAGGAGTTCGAGGTCCTCAGTTACATGAGTTTGAAGTCACTCTGGCTACATGAGAATAGGTATTGGGCTGGGACCTCTTTTAGTGGAGTCACATATCTAGAGTATGTAAGGCCCTGTC